AAAGGAAATGCCTGGCATTCCAAGTGCTGTAGATAAAATCACCTGCCAGTGCACTTTCACCAGGACACCCTAGACATTGTCAGCCAATCAGGGGTCTTAAAACCTCAAAAACCCCTCACCCCCACCTTTGCTACTATAAAACCCTATTCTAATTGAGCTTGGGGTTCTCTGATTATTCCAGTACCTTGGACATGAGGGGAGACCGAGTTTGCAAACTTGATTAAAATAAAGGCTCTTTGCTTTTACGTGTGGGACCCTGTTTTCTTGTTGGCTTTTGTGGGGAGTTTTCGGATTTGGACATAACAGTTGTATGGTATGATTTTGTCATGTCCCTTGGCTTCAACCCACCAAGGTTGCCTCCCCAGTGCTGCTAAACTATTACGTTGGTTTCATGAGACCTGGCAGGCTTTCTTGGTTCCTCCTGTCTATCAGCAGCTGGAGGCATGCTGGGATCCTGTACCCAGTCTACATGCAACAGGCTCACTTTCCAAGTAACCAATTGCTAGGCTCTTCACCCAACACCGGCTGCAATTGGTAGCCAGCTTAAACCCTTCTCTGAATCTGTGGTAGTGACCATTGAGTGTCTTGTGTCTTTCTGGTGTTCTTGAAAGCAGAGGAACCCCCAGCCACGATCTTCAAGGCTGCAGCTGATCCTCTTCATCAAACTCACCTTTGGTCATTTCCCATGAGTGAGGATTAATATCTCAAGAATTGTTTCTTGCCCTTTGGTCTCACTCACAAGCCCTAGTCCCAGGATATTCAAGCCTTGGATCTTCTTTCTCTACCTCACTCATGGGAACTGTATCTTTAGCCATACCTCCAAGCTCCCTGCTGGGATGCTTTTGGGAAAATCTGAGACCGCTAGCACTCAACTTAAGGGCTTCTAACTTATCTAACTTTGCAGCCAAATCTGGCCCTAATACCCTTTAGATAATAAATCCAAGTGGTTTCCAACTGGCACCCTATATCTAGATATTATATGGGATCTTTGCTGCTTCTGCCAGTGATCAGATAGACAGAAGGAGGTACCTATGTCCAAACTTTCTCCTATCTTTGCTCCAAACCTTCCCTCTATTCTTCCTGTCCCCACACTCAGCTCCTCCTAGCTATTAAGTCTGAACTTCACAAACCTTCCACTACTCTTGACCATGCTAACACTACCTGTAAGATATGTGAGGGCAATGGGGGCATCATGCTTTTGGAAGCAACCAACCAATATCTGATTTGACTGAAGCTTTGCTTTATAAGATAGAAACCAAGTACCTGATATGACTTGAATGACCAAGAACCAGAGCCCAGATAGCCCGGGGAACTAGGAAGAAACCAGATATTACTGTTCAACTAAATAAATAAATCAAAACAACAAAGGAACAATAAAATGACTCATAATGACATTCTGCTATACTCAAGGATCAGTGCTCAGTCATCTTCAGAGAAGCTTCCTCCTGCAACAACAACAAAAAAGGAATAAATACAGAGACCCAGGGTCAGACATTAAACAGTGAGCACCTTGGAACACTCAACAACTCTGAGCTGGATGTTTCCATCAAGTCCCTTCTCTCAGACCTCAGGAGATGCTGGGGAAGAGGAGACAGAGAGAGTGTAAACATGAGAAGATGAAGGATACCAGGAGAACAACGTCCTCTAAACCAACATGACCAATGGTGGTATAGGAGGTCCTTCTGTCTTTGTGTTGCTCTCATTGGGCAATGAATAAAGAAACTGCCTTGGCCTAATAGGGCAGAACCTAGGTAGTCAGAGAAGACAGAATTCTGGGAGGAAGAAAGCAGAGAGAGAGATTTGCCCTGGAGCCGCCAGAGTCAAACATGTTGAATCTTTCCCAGTAAGCCACTGCCTTGTAGCGATATACAGATCAATAGAAATGGGTTAAAATCAAGATGTGAGAGGTAGCCAATAAGAGGCTAGAGCTAATGGGCCAAGCAGCAATTTAATTAATACAGTTTCTGTGTGGTTATTTCGGGGCTAAGCAAACCGGATGGCAGGGACAAACAAGCGGCTCTCTCCTGTAACACAAAGCATACATGAATTCAGAGAGACTGAGGAAGTACGCGCAGGGCTGGCATGTGTCTACACCAGATGGAGCCCTAGAACTGAAAGGAGAACCACACACATATCGCCATTCCTAACCCAGAAGCAATCTCCAATTGATAACCACTTGTAAGTGAAAATATAGTTTCCTCCAAGGGAGTCTCACTTGGAAAACAACCTATTCTTTTCTTTTCTTTTCTTTTGCTTTTTTTCTTTTTCAAGACAGGTTTCTCCATGTAGCCTGGTTGTCCTGGAACTAGCTCTGTAGAACAGGCTGATCTTGAACTCACGTGCACCACCACCTGGGTGAAACAAACTACTCTTAAGTGTAGGCTACACAGCCAGCAGTAGAAGGTCAACAGAAAGTGAACTTGATGGCATCTTTAGAGGGTTATTGTCTCACAGTGTTATGTATTGGGAGCTACTGAGTACCAGCCTCAGCTCTCCCTCGGGGTTCAGAAAAGGACTTCTGCGACAAGCAACAAGCGAAAACTAGCTTGGGAACGGGATCTGAGGGGTAGAACACTTGACTCGGGCACATATTTCCTGCATGTCTCTTTATTTCTTGGAGGAAGGTGATCATAAGGCAGAAGGCAGAAGGTTTCCTCCAAGGGAGTCTCACTTGGAAAACAACCTATTCTTTTCTTTTCTTTTGCTTTTTTTCTTTTTCAAGACAGGTTTTCTCCATGTAGCCTGCACCACCACCTGGGTGAAACAAACTACTCTTAAGCATAGGCTGCACAGCCAGCAGTAGAAGGTCAACAGAAAGTGAACTTGATGGCATCTTTAAAGGCTCCTTGTCTCACAGTGTTATGTATTGGGAGCTACTGAGTACCAGCCTCAGCTCTCCCTCGGGGTTCAGAACAGGACTTCTGCGAGAAATCTTTAAGTTTATATAGACAAGTTAGCAGTCCCACAGGTGGTAACAATAGTATCAAGCATGTATTTCCACAGAGTCACAAGACATCATGGAACTGGCAGGGAGGTGCCTTATCTCTCTGAGGAGGCTGTGAAATTCCTCTGCAGCTATACTAACCTGTGAGCTTGATTTGCATTAGCATCTAGCTGGTTGAGTTAAAGGAAGTCTCTTTTGGGGACCTTGCTTTTGACTCCAGCAGGGTGCCCAGGTGAGAATTTTTCTCTCTGAAGTTAGTTTTAGCAACTCAGGCCTTTGTCCTGTATAAACAGTTAATTGCCCAGGCTATGATCTCATGTTAGTTGAAACCAAGGTAAAGTATACAGACTGTCGGTAGCCCATTAAGTCAGAGCAGAAGACCAGGAGATTCCACCTTCCTGGGTCTGCTGTTAGAGCAGACTCGTTACCTCCTGTATGAGGCTCCTCTCTTATCAGTGACCAATAAAGAAAGTTTGTGGGAGGCTATTTTTTATATAGATTTTGGCTATGAGAATAAAGGCTTGCCTTAGTGGATCCTTTTCACACCACGGCTTCATCCAGTTGCCCTACAGGAAAAGTCAGGTTTATACACTGCTGGGAGACTATAAAAGGGAGAAATGCCATGATTTCACAAGATTTTTACAGAACTGACAGTGACTTATCCAAAGCACAGGTGGGCCCATAGCTCTGCAAAACAGGTTAGTCCAAGTGGGTGTGTACATATACACTTCCGGGGGATTAGTCTAATAAATCTGTCAGCTGTATATTTACTGTATAAAACTTCTGAACTCACCACAGTCATGGTAGGGTTTTCCCTTTTTTCTTTGATCTTATTTTATATATATGTATATATTTATATGTATGTATATATATACATGCACATATACATATATAAATATATATGTTCTCTTTTACTCTATTGGTCCTTTGTGTGTGTGTATGTATGTATGTATGTATATATATATGACTTCTAGTTTAGTTTTTATGAAGTATCTGAACAGGCAAATGTCTGGGTCTCTGCTTCCCGTATGTTCTCTTGGGTTCTTTTCCTTCTGTTCATTCATTTTGTTCAATTCTGATGTGTTAATTTTTGTTTTTTTATTTTATTATATTAGTACAGTATAGTATAGTATTATCTTATTCCTTACCAACAAAAAATCAGGAGTCAGATATCAGGGTAAGAGCCTGAAAATTCTGAGAAGCAGGGGAGCCGCTACCAGTTGCTCACCTTCTAATGAGAGACAGAAATTAACTGGATCTGAATGGGAGGGGAGGTGGAGAAAGCCTGGAAGGAGTAGAGGGAGGGAAATCAAAATCAAGATATATTTATTATGTGAGTAAAAAACAAATCTATTTTCAGTAAAAGGCAAACAATACTAACAAACCATACTTGAAGCCTTAGTGTGAGGATGGCCTTGCTCATTTCCTATCTACAAACTTGCAGTTTCTTGGGACTCTTACAAATAATTTTATAAACTTTGTTTACAGTAAGAACATACATCTTACAAAAAAAAACAAAGATTCCCCTGGTTCATGTGACCTGGGGAGTCAACCTATGTCATGAAAAATGACGTTAAACTTGTGATCTCCTCACCTCCAGTTCCTGGGTGCTGGAATTATAGGCTTGTTCCTTCAGCCCCACTTTTATGGGGTGCTGGGATTATAGGCTTGTTCCTTCAGCCCCACTTTTATGTGGTGCTGGGATTATAGGCTTGTTCCTTCAGCCCCACTTTTATGTGGTGCTGGGATTGAACCAAGGGCTCTGTGTACACTAGACAAGCACTCAATGAACTGAGATACATATGTAGCCTCTCTCCAAAAATATTTAAAGACTACATCCAAGTCTCATTGAGCCCATTCTCTGGTAACACCGTGGCTGTATTTATAGGATAAGATCTTGAGAGCAGTAATTCGACCTTTTACCAAATTGTTTTAGCTGGTTGCCTTAATTACTTAAGTATTACTGTTATAAAGCATTGTGACTAAGGCAACTTATAAAAGATAGTTGGTTTTATGATTCCAGAGGGTTAGAGTCCATGATGGCTGGGGAAGGCATGGCAGCAGGAAAAGGAAGCTGAGGGTTCGTATCTTGAAACTGCAAGCATAAAGTAGAGAGAAACTCAAATGTCAGAGTGGACACAGCTCTGAGCCCTGGAAGGAGGTAGGAGGGGAAAGGGAAGGGGAGAGAGGGAACCTGGTGCAGCAGCCAAGAGGGCAAAAGTAAAGAGGTGGCAGTTAACCAAAATGTCTGGATTATACAGGGAAGAAGCTCTGGGGGAAGGGCAGTCCAAACCCTGCATTGGAGAGTTTGGAATAGACGGTTGGGTACGCCAGCCATACCATAAAACAGGTAAGGACTGAGGGATTCTGGGAGAACTATGTAAAAAACCATTTCCTCTTGCAAGTGGCACTTCACACACAGACAAAGAGAAGTTCAGTGAGTTTATCCAGAAACGTGTATACAGCTGATTGAAAGAAGCTTTCTCCATTCACAATCGCTTTAGAACTGGCTCTTCCCATGTAGAGCGGTAGCGCACTTGCCGCGCGTGGAGCCAGGTGGACACTGAAAACCATTGCCCGCAGATGTGGCATGAGATCGTCAGTTGTCCAGCTCCGTGAAGTTAAGAGCAGATGTGGCTAAAATAGGGAAAATGGACTTAATAAAGAGCCCGTGCAGATTTCTGAGGAATTACAGACCTAAGACTAGGAAATTTCTATAACTCATAAAGCCCTATTGGTGGAAGACATCATCCAAAAGCAAAACACAAAACAAAAGTAAAAAACAAAACCCAAATACGTGGAAGCTACTGCTTCTGCCCCAGGGCAACAGAGTAAACCTTTGACCTGAAAGGGACTGAAGTCGTCAGCCTGGACACAGATGTCCATCTGCCACAAAGCTGCAGGGAGCACGCTCGGCTAGGGTCTCCAGAACGCCCTTCTTCTAACACAGAGGACCTTACCGGCAGAACTAAACTTTCAAGGGTTGTTCTCTGATGGTCTCCCCGGTGCTTAAACCTCTCTGCCAAGCAAAAGCCAGAGCTAGGCCAGAGTTCCGTTATGTAGCTGAAATCTACAGAGCAAAGCAAATTTCTCTCCAGTTTTATACTTAAAAATTTGTGCTAAGGGCTCCCATTATGATTAGAAATATCACTGTCCACCACTGAAGTCAAGATTCTGGTAAACCAAGTGTGGCAATCCCGTCAGCAGCAGGGATTGGAGTCATCTCAACAAAGTAGCTGTGCTCCACGTCTCAGCAGCACACTCCTGAATCCCTCCAACGAGCCAGCAGAATGTTTAAAATGGCTAGTTGTCATCACCAGAATCTGGCAGAGACCTGTGTGTCACCAGCTGAGCTCCGTCTGCTCCTTCGCAGTAGTTTGTTATGAAGCTATTTTCTTCCTGACTTCTCTACCCCTTCTAAGAGCCAGCTTTTACAAATAGCTGTAAATCAAGGAAGCCAGACTGAGTCACATGGAAAATTATTCTGAACAATACATAATATTATGGCAAGCCACCAAATGGACGTGCCAATGCCAAAAGGAAGTCATTTGGTTCTAAATGTGAATGGCAAGGATGTTAGTTCACAATGTGCAATCAAGGTATGTTGAACTAGGGACTCCCGGGAGTACACTCTAAATACAGCTAAGGTCACAGAAAATAGTGATTCTTATCATCACTGGGCCGCATCCCAGTTGGCAGAATGCATGCTTCTTTTACAAGCTGACCTTCCCTACCAGGTAGGTCGAAGGCCGTGGGCAGCATAGCAGGCTCTGAGTTATGCTGCAGTTTCTTCTGTTTCTGTTCTACTAGATATATTCCATAAGAAAAAAAAATGCCCAATTAAAGGCAAACCCTGCCAGGATGCGGCTACCAGCAGGAGGATTTCTTTTCTTTTTTTTTTAATGTCTTTTTTTAAATTTATTTATTTATTAAAGATTTCTGTCTCTTCCCCGCCACCACCTCCTATTTCCCTCCCCCTCCCCCAATTAAGTCCCCCCCCCCCTCAGCCCGAAAAGCAATCAGGGCTCCCTGCCCTGTGGGAAGTCCAAGGAATCCCCACCTCCATCCAAGTCTAGCAAGTTGAGCATCCAAACTGCCTAGGCTCCCACAAAGCCAGTGCGTGCAGTAGGATCAGAAACCCATTGCCATTGTTCTTTTTTTTTTTTTCACTTTTGAAAAACAAGTTTGTTGCTACTTTTTGCAAATCTTTGCACATGAGAATGAATGTTCTCTGCACATATACAGGATATGGAATAGTAGATATTTATGAGCCTCTCAACTTGAGTGTTGGTATTTGAAATCAGAATATGAGGAACCACTTACAAAGACATTTTAGCCAATAAACCAAAATCTTTCACAGATTAAAATCAACAAGAAAAACAAGTCAATGAAGAAGCAAATAATTAATTGTTCTTGAGTTCTCAGTAGTCCTCATTGTCCGCTATGTTCGTTCAGAGAGTCCGGTTTTATCCCAGGCTTTTCCAGACCCAGGCCAGCTGGCCTTGGTGAGTTCCCAGTAGAACATCCCCATTGTCCCAGTGTGTGGGTGCACCCCTTGCGGTCCTGAGTTCCTTGCTCGTGCTCTCTCTCCTTCTGCTCCTGATTTGGACCTTGAGATTTCTGTCCGGTGCTCCAATGTGGGTCTCTGTCTCTGTCTCCTTTCATCGCCCAGCAGGAGGATTTCAAAACGGTTATGGCCACCCTGCAGTCAGCGCGCCATGCATGATGGCAGCATGGAGGTCAGCAAGAGGAAGCCTTGGTCCAGTCGCTCTCTTCCCTGTGCTGCCTCTTCACTTGACCCTATCCTCCTCCATTCAAGGTGGCACTCTCTTATCAGACATCACCTGGGAGTTTTAGGAACTCAGCCCCGCAGGCCCCACTGAAATCCATTCTGTACTCAATCAATAAAGGCCAACAAGCCAGGGCAGTGTCTAGGATACATTCGAAGGTGCATCTTACCCTGCCAACAGTTAGGGAGATTGAAGGCATTGAGCCCTTTACTATTTCCTGTCTGCATTTTTCCAGTCATCCAAGAAGTCAGCAGTCTAGAATCAGTATGTTTGCCCACACCAAGAGGAAGGGATAAGAACACACACCTGTTTAACCCATTATACCTTACAATAGGCTATCATAATCGTATCCATTGATACCATGCTTAAGTGGTAGATGCTTTAATTTTAGGTGTTTTGTTTTACTTGTGTGAGTGTGTGAGAGAGAGTTTACATGTAGGTATGTGTGTGTGTGTGTGTAGGCTGGTTAACAACCTTGGCTGTGGTTCCTCAGATGACATCTATCTTGTTTTGAGGCAGGGTCTCTCACTGAGCTGGAGTCCATCCAGTAGGCCAGGTGTCGAGGGAGAGACCTGGACAGTCTCCTGCCTCCATGTCCCCAGTGGTGAGACTGAACCGCATGCATGCCACCAGAGACATCTTGTTTCTAGGAGCATATTAAGGGTGAAGTTGAGTCCTTGCACTGTCCAGGGAAGCACTAAGCAGACTGAGACATCCCACCATTCCCTTCCTCTTGAGGTCGAGACAGTGTCTCACATAGATGAATTGCTGATGATGATTTGAATCATCCTCCTGCCTCTTTCTCCGAGGTGCTGTGATTATGAGCGTGATCTACAATTTTTATTTCACAATTTGGATATGATGATTGATTGAAGTTAAGACAATGCCCCAAATCATATTACAATTAGTTTTGTGACTCCAAGTGTAGTGCTCCTTCTGTTCCTATGCTGCTAATGGCTGACCGTCTGAGAAGAGCCGAAGGAGAAAGAGGGCTGGACATAAGGTCAGTTGGGGGAAGAGTTTTGTAATCACTTTGTCCTACACTCCAAAGGCACACAGAGAGATCTGTGAGATAGTCTTAAAGATTTTCAGCCTCTTCCTGACTTGGGGCTGAATATACTCATGAGTGGTGAGGCAAGGAAAGCAAGCAGTCCCAGTACCAACCCTCTGCTTGTTCCACAGAACCATCTCGGGCATGGCTGACAGTCACACAGGCTCCACAGGTCCCATGGAAATGTCCAGAACCTTTTTCTCACTTAGCCTATATGCGTCACATCAGTCAGTCAGATATGGTCCAACCACCATGTTTCCCCGAACTATTTCATTCTAGGCTAAAGTTGCAGTGCTATTTGCAAATTTCTGACTTGTGCAATTCTCTCCAAGCTTATGCGATGTATGAGTCTCCTTTTCAGGAAATGTTAGCTTTGTTGCCTGAGATTTCCTCTTGAAGAAAATACAGGCAAGATCTTCTGAGAAATTCTTTGCCTGAGCCATTGTTACTGTCCTTGGTGTATTGAAAACACATGTCCCCTGTGTATGGAACTTCACGGGGGAACACAGGGCGGGCGCTCTGGAGTGGGACAGCTATTCCAAAGCAAGTCTCAATAGGCTTTTACGACTATCAAATAAAAGGTGATCTGGTTGGTCATTTGGGATGTTGTGAGTAGATCTGGGAATGCATATCTTCTTTATATAATTTTCAAAATGTGTTCCCCATTATTTGAAGAAAAGATCAGAACACAAAATAGGAATTTAAGATTCAATTATACTATATCTGTTCCACAAGCAAAGAGATTTAGTGAGAGCACAGAGTGAGACTCTGCAGTGAGACCTCAGCGTGTGTAGAAAACAGCCTGTGTTCTACCTAGCAGAACTCCAGGTGGTTCATCCTTCTGGTTTTAAAGTAAATACATCCTCAGGTGAATGGAAGAGAGTGTGGCCACAAAATTAAAGTGGGATGTCTCCTATAAATCCTTATTCAGAATTTCTGAAAAAGTTTTAACATTCATTTTCTGTTACTTTGAACTTTTTGAATTTCATGACACAACTTGGTTCTATTAATTTCTGCTGTCTAGATTGTGCACTTGGCGGGTGAGCATGTGATGTCACAGAGATGAGGCAATAGTTTTGGAAGAAAGGTGCAGTAAGGGGAAAGTTTCCAGCCTGGTGAATTACACCTGGGGAAGCCATTTTATGCCTAGACTTGGATAGGAAAGTGACATAAAGCAACTGTGTTTCTGCCACTGTTGCAGCAGCTGCCAAGTCTGCATGCCATATAAGACACCTATGCAGAACTCTGCATCCTCTAAGGTGGGGGAAATGGACATGGAAGACGTGCTTTTCTCCAAAAGGCTGACGATCTCTGCAACCAACTTAAAGGTGGAAGGAAGGACTGGTTCCACCAAATTAACATTCACTCTGTGCCAATAATAATAATAATAATAATAATAATAATAATAATAATAATAATATGATTGTGACGCTGATGATGATGCAAAGAAGGAGGAAGAGAACAAGATAAAGAAGAATTTTAATACTTTCTAAAATTCTGACTAAAGTA